ACATTTGCTGATGTTGGATCCTTGGGCCTAACACTTCATGAAGAATGTCAGAAATGCCATACATTGTTTGAAAAATGTTGTTTGAGTAATAATAATATATATTATTGCATAAATTTGTTGAAAGACTTAATTTCATGTATTATATATAGTTTAAATTCCACATGAGCTGCTTCATCCAGTGGCGCACTTGGTTTATAACTGCCTCTCATGCGGAAGATACCTGGTTCAAATCCCGGACAGGTCAATTTTTTTTCTTTGTCAGATTAAATACAAATTTAATATGTATGACATTATATATATAAAAAAAAAATTGTCCACTCACCTTTGGCCCTCCGCGGGCGGTTATCCCTCTCTAAGCTTGGGTCCTCTACCAGAGGCCAGGGAGCTTGAGGGTTCTGTGCAGTATCTTTGCTGTTCCTAGCACTGCACATTTCTGGACCGAGATGTCCGAGGTTGTTCCGGGGATCCGCTGTAATCACTCATCTAGCTTCGGGGTTACTGCCCCGAGTGCACCGATCACCACGGGAACTACTGTCACCTTTACCCTCCAGGCCCTCTCCAGCTCCTCTCTGAGACCTTGGTATTTCTCAAGCTTTTCATGTTCTTTTTTCCGGATGTTACCATCGCTTGGAATTGCCACGTCCACCACCACGGCTGTCCTCTGCCCTTTGTCTACCACCACGATGTCAGGTTGGTTTGCCATTACCATTCGGTCGGTCTGTATCTGGAAGTCCCACAGGATCTTCGCACGCTCATTCTCCACCACCTTTGGAGGAGTTTCCCACTTAGACCTTGGGGTTTCCAGCCCATACTGTTCCATTGGGGCTATGTACCCAATATCTGGTTGGGGAGTTGCAGTTGGTGGGATCTCCCCTCTGACCTCGGCAACTGTGGCATCATACATGTGTTGTACTTCATCAATCTCAAGCTGTGATAGCAGTTGCCGTTTGTGGATGTTGGAGCATTGAGCTACCAGTTGTTTCGGGGTCAACTGTGACTGTGGGTTTCGAAGTAACCATTCAGCCCACATTCTCTGCATATAACCTCTTTGGCCAGGGTTACTCGAGTAGTAGCATTCCAACAGAGCCCTGTTATCGCATCTCGTCCACTTTCGCCTTGTTCCAGTAGCCCACTTTTCATCAAGGTGCTCTGGTTCCCCAGCACCTGACGCAGACCTTGTTTGGCCGGGCGACGGCTGATCCGGCATCTCATTGCTTATTTGTGAGATAAATAAAGCAAATCTTATCTTATCTTATGTATAAAGGAATAACCGTCATAAAAAAGTTTTTGATCTTGGCTGGATTTGAATCTGCGAACTCTTGCATGAATGGCAGACACACACCAGCTATACCACTCACAAGGTGGTTTTAAGTAAAATTGTGTCTTGAGTGTTTTACACATCATTTAGTTTTACCCTAACGATGATGCAATATTAATCCTAATGCAAGATTACTATTGGAACAACACATAACCATATGTATGAAATATATATTCATACATATTCAATTTGTATTTAATCTGACAAAAAAAATAAAGACCAGACCTGGAATTGAAACAGGTATCTTCCGCATGAGAGACAGTTATAAACCAAGTGCGCCACAGGAATATACACTTCTTCAGAATCTAAACCACATATAATACATAAAATTAAGTCTTTCAATAAATTTTAAATTTAATTTATTATAACTCAAACTACATTTTTCAAACAACTTATGACACTTCTGACATTCTCCATGAAGTGTTATGCCCAAGGACCCAACATCAGCAAATGTCATTGGTGGTCACTGGGGATTTGAACTAGCAACCATCAACACCATAGACCTGTGCTTTTCCATCTGAGCCACTGGACCACTATCTCTAATGATGCTGCTTGTTGTCTTTTGTACAGGCTGCTTTCAACTGTATTTGTTTTACACGCCATTTATTCCCCACATGCCGTTTTAAACGCCATTTATTGCCCACATGCCGTATTAAACGCCATTTATTGTCCACATTCCGTTTTAAATGCCATTTATTGTCCACATGCCGTTTTAAACGCCATTTATTGCCCACATGCCGTTTTAAACGGCATTTGTTCCCCACATGCCGTTTTAAACGCCACTTGTTGTCCACATGCCGTTTTAAACACCACTTGTCCACATGCCGCTTTACACGCCATTTATTTCCCACATTCCGTTTTAAACACCACTTGTTGTCCTCATGCCGCTTTACACGCCATTTATTCCCCACATGCCGTTTTAAACGCCACTTGTTGTCCACATGCCGCTTTACACGCCACTTGTTGTCCACATGCCCATTTATTCCCCACATGCCGTTTTAAACGCCACTTGTTGTCCACATGCCGCTTTACACGCCATTTATTCCCCACATGCCGTTTTACACGCCATTTGTTGTGTACATGCCACTGATCAGCTGTGGCAGGTGCCGGTGCCACAAAAGGAGCCTGCCCTTTCTCCAATTTAGTTTGGTATATTTCCAACCAATACTGACCAACATATTAATCAATCCAACCACGAATGTTTAGAGTGTTTACACACCTGTGCCTCAGCCTTCACTGTCTGAATTTTCTCTCGACTGCATGTTTTTGGCACTTAGCTCGTGCAGCAACCCTCCTCCCCATCACCACAGCAGTGGGGAAATCTCTCTTCATGTCATCAGGTTATTACTTCTGGCCTACCGGGGTCTAGACCAGAGGGTGGTTCCATGCAATGAGAAATCCCCCCTGCTGGTGCCATGCCATATTTCAGGCACTAGTGAATTGCCTTTGGGCAGAAATTTCTTATGAAGGAATTTTGGTAAAAGAACTGTCCTGTCTTCTGTTCTCCAGCTTCAAAACCAAAACCAGTCCAGAACCAGCTGATTAGACAGACTTTAACTGCCCTAAAATGTACTCTAAAATGGCTAAACAAGAATAAACAATAATTTCATATAAGTAATGACATGGTAACGCATTACATTACAGATACAGAAAAAAAAATACAAAGGAAATGTACAACATGCTTCCACAACTAAAGGCCATTCATTTGAGTTCTGCCAACATGCAAAACCAGACCACTACACTTAAGCATAAGAGTAACACATTTTATTCATCACTAAATCCCTCTGACTGAGTTAAAGTTTGCATCTGTTGATTATGTATAATTTCAAAAGACAAACTGTTCTGTCTGAAAAAATGTGGTACTGTATTTGGAACACCATGTTGCTTCCATGATTTGGTTTCAATAATAAATTGTGTAGTTGGCTCAAACCAACGCTCACGTCAGCAGAACCTACATCATGATTTGGTTTCTTATCATCGCAGAGTGAGAACTGAGCAGGAGCCAAATCGTCCGTGAAGCTCCGATTTGGATCTCGGGTACTTTTAGCGCCGCAATTAAGCACAGGCCCTGTGTTCGCCCAAAGATTCAATCAGCGCTGTGTATCATCTGATCGTTTGGACTCCACCTCCCAGAAGGCCACGCTGTTTTGAACTGGAGCTGACGAGGTTGTTAGCGCTGATAAAAGCGTTGCAACACGTCCTGGTCCAGTTGTTTGGCTTGGTGCTTGGACAAATAAAGCCAGGCAAAGCAAAGATGAGTATCAAAGCACTCTCCCACACATTTCCTACTATGGGAGAGGGGTTTTTTTTGGTCAGTCAGTAAAGAAGTGTCATGAAGATTTGTTTCACTGGTTTGAGTTGCAAGAGGCAGTGGTTCATCTTAAATAAATATGCCATCTTTCACTTTGAAATTGGAAGATGGCAATTTGAATGTAGCTCAAAGACATTGTTTTTGGATATTTCTTTTTGTGAATGAAGCAAACCAAGTTACATTTAGTCATCCGGATCTCATAACAAGGTTACACTTAGAGGCACATTTTGTTTAGGTGACCTCAAGGTTAACCGTTTGTTTTGTATTCATTAATTCGCCTACTGCACATATGGCACACACACACACACACATGCACACAGGCGTGAGAGGACAAAGTGCTTTTTGACTGGAATATAAAAAGTAAGATTACTCACTGACTTACTTACTTTATTGTAACGTATCATAAAATTCACATCCACTGTTATTACTGGAACTGGGAAAAAAACTACAATCACCTCAAAGTCCACACACATCAGCAAACCTTGTCGACGGACACAATAGAGGTCTGGCAGATCTTTCAACTTATGGGAAAATGCATTTACTGAAAGGCAAAGCTCTCGTTTTTCTGCTCTATCTACCTTCCCACCCTCACCTTTGGCCATGAGCTTTGGGTAATGACAGAAAGGACGAGATCACAGATACAGCTCCAATAGGGTGAGGAGCTCAGAGTAGAGACGGCATGTTGAGAGGAGCCAGTTTAGGTGGCTCAGGCATCTGTTTGGTCACAACAATAGGGGAGGTGTTGCAGACATGTCTCACCGGGAGGAGACCAGGGGAAGACCCTGTACACACTGATGTGACTATGTCTCTTGGCTGGCCTAGAACGCCTCTCAATATGACTCCTGGACGAGCTGGAGGAAGTGTGGTGGGAGAGGGAGGTCTGGGTGTCTCTGCGTAGACTGCTGCTCATGCAACCCGGCAAGGGGTAAAGCGAAAGAACATGGATGTATTTTGTCTAATAAGGGTAAAAATCACAAACTTAAAGCAGCACTATGAATTTCCAAACCCATGCTCCAACATATTGTCCGTTAACCAAAAATGGCAGAAGAAAATATCATAAAATTCCTTTAAGATTTATCATGAGGTAACAGTGGGGAAATGATCAATTATACACATTTTCTCGCTCTTACATTTTGGAATTAAAACATGACTTTGAAAGTAATTGACACTATGAAACAAAACACGACCTACTGTATGTTTTCTATTATCCGCCATAAGAAGTGACCGTCTGCACATTCTGAAGCTGGACAACACTGACACAATGATTAGTGCGTTTGCCATTACCCAACATACTCTGCTAGTGCCTTGTGCCAACTGTACTGTGCCCACTGCCCCCTCTGCCCCCCACTCTGCCCCAGAACGTCTCCCCTGATGCCTGGAGTCCGCATTTGTGCCAAGGCAATCAGGGAGAGAGCTGCCAGCTGCAACGCCGCCCTCTTTATAGAGCCGTGATGTATGCTCCGCTGGACGGCCCACATGGGAGAGATAGAAGCCTGAACTAGGGGGAGGTGCCTGGGTGTGAGGGAGGGTCAGTGGGTGTGAGGGTGGGTCAGTGGGTGTGAGGAGGCAGGAAAAGAACAGGTTTGGGTTGGAGAAGGCCGAGGAGGTGGTGACGATCACGTGTAATGGGTCAGAAGCGGTGCCAGATACAACATTAGTGCGATGATGTGAGACACTGTCACTGGGGATCGGCTGTAATCCCCAAAGTACTTTGTATCGTGTTTTCAATTAGAATGAGTAAAGTACAGTGTAAGAAAGGAGGTTCCTGCATGTTTTATGCTAACGTTACTGTAATGGTATTGGAACGTAATATTATGCTTTTTTGTTACACAGCATCAAACTACGACATCCTTCTTGGTCAAATGCTTAGAACTTCTGGATTAATCAAATAAGGCTTTATAATGTACAATTAATCTGATGTTGTTTAACTCTTTGGCCAAGCCAAGACAGTGTAGCACCAGGGACCAGGGATGTTCATGCTTGGCTTGGCCAGGACTCTCCTTGGAGAATTTTACTCATGGTGCAAATTTTTGGTGCTGAGGGGAAACCGGAGCGCCCGGAGGTAACCCTTCTAGACACAGGGACACATGAAAACTTCACACAGAAAGAAATGCCACGGAAAGCAAACCTGCAACCCTAATAGGTCTGGCATGCGCCTCCTGTTCGGCGATCCCGCTCCTGTCTCTGTGTGGAGTGAGAGGACAAGTGCCCAAAAAAAATAACAATTGTAAACCGCTTTGTGACTCTGGTCTGTGAAAGGCGGTATATAAATAAAGCTTACTAATTACACATACTGTATATACTGCCCTTTAATCAGCTTTACTAAACAATTCTCGGTTGATTTTCAGAACAATGAATGAAAATGTTGACATTTTGGTGCATTTACATAAACGACTTCTCTCTATAATAGGTTTTGTATCTAGTGCCTTTTCTGTGGTGCTGCTTGACCTACTCCTGCCTTAACCCTATAGAGGCTCTGGTGTGATTAACAAGACTGAATGGTCAGAAATGGCTTCTGGCCGTGGTCACTCTGTCTCTGACAGACCCAAATGCTCGAGCGGAGGCTTAAATAAGTGTGCAATAAAACAGGTGGCTAAACTCATGAACAGCACGAGGACTACTCCATTATGTGTCCAGGCCTGCACCGCACTGGCTCTGCTGACCTCATCAAAGCTGGACGACCCTCCTGACCTCATCAACACCGCCTGACCCCCTGCGACCTCATCAAAGCAGGACGCCCCGCCGCGCGCTCAGGGCTGACAACAGGCCCTAAGAAAACAGGCCATCCATTAGGGTGCCAAGAGCACTGTAAACGCCAGTGTCAGCCATCTTTACTGTCATGCCCAGTGCCGCAGCCCCCCTCAGAGCCGCCTGCCGGACAATGGGACAGTCACAATGTCCGCCCACGTGGGCTGCAGCAGGGCGGGGCGAGGAGGCCTCCTGTGTGATCAGACTGTTATTGAAGCTTTGAGCGATGAGTCGGGTTCTCATCTACCCACACACAAACTCTGATTTAGACCCGCAGTAATGTCATTAGGCCTGTTTTATAACGTTCTAGACCACTGCCATGGCCACAGTCACTGACGTGTGTGTGTGGGGGTGTGTGTCTGTTTGTCTGTGTGCATGTGATTGTGTGTTTGTTTGTGAGTGGCAGTACAGCTCATGAAACAAGCCAAATGACAATTTTAGGATACAGAATTCAAATCTTGTTTTTTTTTTGCATTTTTTGTTTAGCATTTTTTGTTTTTACAATTTTATAACAATAAATCAAGTCAACCCTTCAATACAAAGTGGCTAACTCTTACTGGTTGCTGTATATGGACCAGTTATAATTCAGGTAAACCTAAAAAAACCTGAGAATTGATCCACAATATGGCATTAAACATAATTGTTTATTGGTGATGTGGCTCTCCCACATTATTATTCATTATTTTGAACTTCAGCAATCTCATTAGTGATCATGTTGCTGAACCATGTGTCTAATAGAAAGAGTTAAAAAAGTAAAACGTTCAGATGGATGTGAAAAGTGGGGGGAAGAGGAATAGAGCAACAGCAAAGATTATACAATTGTCAAACACAAAAAAAACAATATTTAGAGAAGACCTCCAGTGTGGTTAAAAGATCGTTTGGTCTTTATATTCTTAAAGCTGGGGTACCTAACTCTCAAATCACCAAACATGCATCAACCCATCCTTCCTCCTCGCTCTTAAAACACTTTGATTCCATCACTAATTTTAACATGCATGTAACAGAGGACCCCCCTCATTCAGCCAATCAGCTCTCAGCTCAGTGCATCAAATAGGGCTGTTTCTTTTAAGCGTATAAGAGAACATGTTTACAATTAAGATCAGTTATAGTCTAATTTTACTTTTACAAGACTCTTTCCATCAATCAACTCGTTTATTTATGATCCGTATATAAACGAGGTACCCCAGCTTTAAAACAAACACGTTCCAAATGAATTCTGGAGTGAATCGCAGGTTTGAGGATTACCATGGCCCCGCCGTCACAGGGGCCGTGGGGGTCCGGATGGAAGGAGAAGTCTTATTGAGCGTTTGAGCGATGAGCCAGGTCATCACATCTCCAAACCTCATCCATCATGCCTCACAAACGGACACAAATGCCGGGGACACATTCCTGCCTCCGCTCCCACTACACCGCATTCAGACCCGTCCCCAAAGAGCGTCTCCAGGCCCAGCGCCAGCCAGAAGGGTTCAGAGAGTGCCCAGCGGCGCTCCTGGGGGCCATGGGAGAGCCAGGCCCCTAACGCCAGGTGGTTCTCCGTCTCCTGTCCCACACACAACTGGTCTTTGTGAATGGACTGAAGTGAGGACAGAGGGGCGGCCGGGTCTGGGACAGGGGGACTGGCCGAACACATCGCCCCAAGCTCACATTTCTTTCGTTTGTTTTGTTTTTATACGTAATACATGTTGTTTGTTCCAACAGAAAGAGTCTTGTCAAATCCATTCTGCTTTTTTAGTAGAGGACATTTTAAAACCAAGCCGTGGTATACAAACGTAGATACATTGCTATATGCATTCACTCACAAATCTGCCATATAACATTAGAAAATCCAAAATAATTGATGATAATAGTAGCTATTCATGATAACTATATATATTTATGTTTTTGTTTCAATTGTGGACATGACAAAACACCACATCAGAGTAAAATTGCACATAATTGTAGTCCTGTCACACAAATGATACGGAGCAGAAAGAGGAATCTTGGGTTGCCTGCCACTTCGTCCTCATGCGAGAATTAAGATACAAAAAAATGAATGGACTGCAGCACTTTTCTTTTTCTTTTTATTATTAATGTATTTATTTTAATCATGAGCTAATAGTCACTGCTGTTGCTTTGATATTTTTCTTAAACATGTCGGCTTATAAAATCGATTCATAGTTTATATTAAAAATGAATGGATAAATAAATATCGAACTTGGGATAAACATAGCCACAGCTTTGAAGGTGGTTGTAGTTTTTATTTTTAATTATGAATTATACATTGTACAAAATGAAGACAAAAAAGATACCTCACATGTTCCTCATATTATCTTTGGCTTTTTGGTGGTGGGGATCCTCCTGTTTGGGTTTGGAGCGGTTCTATTCTACCATAAATTCGGAGGCATGGCAGTTCGCAAGATTCACGACCTGCTGGCCAACAAAATTGATGGGATGTACAAGGAGCTTAACCGAGTCGTGGTTGAGAGCGCTGTGGCTGGACAAAGAAGAGTGGTTTTGGTGGAACAGTTGATCAGAGATCTCGCAGCTCGTTCACTTGATGGGCAAAACTCTGGAATTGAGATTGAATGACATTGTTTGTCACGCTTGAACTCTCTGACCCGGCTTGGATTGGCCCCTGTGTACGGGGTTTGAGGGCGCCGCAATTCGGTTTAATTGGATTTAATAGAATATCTGCCTGTTTTTGACTGCTAGAATGCATACTAGATTGTCCCTTGTTACAGGAAGATGTGTTTTTCTCCTTGCTGTGTCTTCGCTCCTCTCTTATCTCACATTCCTCGGGCCAAGGCCATCATAATAAATCTGGTCTCTACAAAAATTTCACACTCTTTCAGTCAGTTCCAGCTTGGATCCCGCTCCCCCCGCCTCCCTCTGATCTCTCCCTCCCCTCCCCTCCTCACTGTGTTTCCGACTCACCCCCTCCCTGACCCCGCCCCCCTCTGACAGCCACATTGGACCGGCAGCCAGAGGTGCTCATCCCGAGAAAAAAATCCGTGGTTTATACAAAGCACAATGTTTTCTATCCAACTGTCTGTTGTAACCTGTATGTTATTGCTCTCTGCTGTTTATTCTACTGTTTGTCGCATGGCGCCGGAAAAATGGCGCCGTGGCAAGAGCTCTGGTGTGTGTCGTCTCTGTCTGGCGCACACCGGGGTAGTCTTGCACAGTTTTTCCAATGTGGTTTTACTGCAAATGGCAAATAAATGAATCTGAATCTGAATCTGAATCTGAATATTTCTCTTATTGGACTAGTGGAGGCACATACAGTAGTTATGGTATTAAATAGTTTCGCACTCTTTCTGAAACACTTAGATTAAACGGCAGGTCAATTGTGGCCGGACGTGGCTTCAGTTTAATTTGATAAATCTAAAAATCTATCAATAATTAGTAGAGCATTGGCCTTCAGGCCTGAAGGTCGTGGGTTCAATTCCCACCTCTACACCTTCTCCACCGACTCCCACTGATGACTGCTGTCGTTGTGTCCTTGGGCAAGACACTTAACCCCACTTTGCCCCAAAAGCCCCCACTGAAAGATAAAGGCTATGCTCACACTCAGAGAGCAGCCGTCCTCCTGTGGCCTCACCACCTGCAGAGGGTCAGTGAGGGGCTGGTGCTATGAGACTTGGGTGGCATCTCTGATTGCCACCCCCCTGACCCAGAAATGGATTAAAGGGTAGAAAATGGATGGATGATAATTATTAAGGCATGATCCACCAGACAAAGCAAAATTATAGGTTTCACATTTAATAAATCATTGCATTGTGAACCTCATGCTGTCTTAATAGAAATTATAATGAAAACAAATCAATTGTCATGGTGTGGGTTTTATTTTTGTATTTTTGTTTTATTTTGACATTGTTCTCTGTGGTTTGGTTTTAGTTGTACTTCCTGTCCTGTTTGCCCCTATCTTGATTGTCTGCCCCGCCCTGATGTGTTTCACCTGTGTCTGTCTATATGTACCCTGTGCTCCTCTCCACATGTTGCTGGTCCATTGTCTTGTTCATGTCCTTGTCTGTTCTGTTTTGTTCCGTTCCTGGTTCCCTGTGGTTTTGGATTTTTGAATATATTTTCATCTACCATTTAGTTTTTTCATCATTAAATTATTTTTATTTTGGCATTTCCTGCATTTTGAGTCCTTCATTCGCCTCCCCCCATGACATCAATAGATTTAAAAAAATAAATAAAAAATGTCAAACAGTTGTATTCCCCATTGGTAGTGTTGAACCAAAGCACTAAACACTATCAGGCTTTTCTAAAAACAACTTGGTAAAGAGCAAATTGCAACCCTGTCAATAATTTCTTCCTGTTGGCACTTACACATCTGTTTTTGCAAATTACATTTGTATTGTCTTTTTCAAACTTACAGTATAAGAAAGCCCTGTGAGTCACTATTTGAGGCTTTGGGCTGAGAGCTGATTGGCTTTTCTGTCTACAAAAGCGGATCTAAAGATGTGAGAGGAGCCAGAAGTACATTCAAGGGAAAACTAGTGACAGAACTAAACTGTTTTAAGACTGTTAGATTAGACTAGTTAAAAAGTTACATATTCTAGCTCTTGTCCCGCTCTGGTCCCGCTCTCGTCCGTCCCGTTCTGATATGTGCATGATGATTAGTCAGACCTTACATGTCCCTCTGTGCACGAGCATGAGCTGCTGGTCCTGCAGAAGTAGAACCTCTGCACACTGTACTACACTGTTTGGGACGTCCATGGTGCTAGCATTGAATGGACGGAAATCTTGGAGACCTGGGGCTTGATGGAGGTATCTTCGGTCTTGCCAAATGTTGTATTTTCATTTTTATACGATAATACTGAATAGGTTATTAAGAATTTAGACAGCACTGCATGTTTGCACCAAATGGCTATTTAAACAATATGACATAAAATCCTATTGTCCCACTATGTTAGATACAAATAGTGGATTATCATATTTTAGTCACACTCTCACGACATCAGTTGCTTTGAAGGACTTCACATAATTAGTAAGTAAGTGAGTAATCTTTATTTATATACCGCCTTTTACAGACCAGAGTCACAAAGCGGTTTACAATGGTTATTTTTGGGCACTTGTCCTCTCACTCCACACAGAGATGGGAGCGGGGTCGCCGAACAGGAGGCGCATGCCAGACCTATTGTACATATTTTTTAGTGGTAGGGGAAACCGGAGTACCCGGAGGAAACCTACGCAGACACGGGGAGAACATGCAAACTCCACTCAGAAAGGCCCTTGTCCGGCCGGGATTCGAACCAAGGAGAATCTTGCTGAGAGGCGAGAGTGCTATCCACTCAGCCACCGTGCCGCCCAATTTTTGATTAACTAGTATTAGGGGTGGGGGGGGGTCAGCTCCACCCAATTCAAAGAGCACCAGCCCCTCACTGATCCTCCTGCAGGTGGTGGGTCCACAGGACACAGACAGGCTGCTCTGTCTGTGACGACACACCTTGAACTTTCAGCGGGGGCTTGGGGTTTGTGCTTCAGGTTTCTGCAAGAGAAGCTGGAGAGTCACTCCTGAGGTTAACTTACCCAGAGATACACCACCTCCTCATCTCCAACTGGACCTTCAATGGGAACGTCCAGTTTTATACGTCTTTTTAAAAGCTTTGGGCCAATTATCAACATTATAACAAATTAAAGGCTTGATGGATCTCACTGAAGTAAATGGACTTTAGTACAATATTCTAATTTTCCGAACTTCACCTGTAAAATCAATCATGGCTCACTGTTAATTCTGGTAAAAAGCTAACAAGAAATACCAAAAAATGGAATCCAAGCACACGTAAGTCCACATTGTACTCTTTTATTATTTAGTTGTTCCTCCCACAGTACTGAATTGAAATGCATACAGTTACATTGTAGAAAGCATTAAAACAAAGTACCTCAACTTGCTGATTATGTTTAAAATCGATTATAAACAAAATGAAAAAAACAAACAAAAACAAACTCTGATCCCTCAAAACGGGAGAATAACTGAAGAGTCTTTTACTTGTTTGGCACAAAACGTCACAATCTACTGACCGATCATGCGCCGTGGACGAAATGAGACTTGCCCTTTTTACAAATGATTCATAGGAAAAACCTAAGTCATGTCTATTTGTCGACCGGTTAGAAAATAAGAGCGATTTGTACGTTTTTTAATACTATCTGGCACTCGTATGTATCATGTAGAACGCCCAGGTAAGAGTGGGACAGGCCCGGGTCAGGAGGTCCCTGTGGCCGCCGCCGGGCTAAGAGCAGTGCTATTCAGTAAACAAACTACAGTTTGCCAAGAAATAAATACAATTCTCAACATACAACAGTAAATATTAACAACAACACCAACAAAAAATGGGAACAAAATCATGATTGTCTAAAAAAATGAAAGACACACAAGCACGGAGGAGCGGACGACGAGCATTCGGGCATCGAGTGGTTGAAAAGGTGTATATCGCACTGTCCACTGTGGGGAGAGAAAGCAAACCAGACGGACCGATCAACGCTGTAATTCTTCTGTGGTTGGAGAGAAAGCGCAGGGGCCAGTGGAGCACAACAGCGGTGCTATGATCGTGACCAAAAGCACCAAAAACAAGACTTGGCCCGCTCTTTTCAGATCCAACATATAGAAAAAGACATTCAGGAGAAAACAAGGACATGTCATATTTACAGTTAACATACATGTTGGTTCAGTTCTTGGGCTGGTTCTGTCTGTATACCACATAAATCACATTGGAACTGCTTCAGAAGTCGCTTGGAGACTTTCTTTATTCACAAATTTTCCTCAAGGTAAATTCTAAGAACATCCACAGCCGTATTGTAAACGTCATCACGAGTTAGAAAGGCCTGGGATTCACATCTACTTTTACAGACGCCATTTTCTCCACAAGAAAAAACAAAAAATTCAGTCCACATCCACGTTTTTTTTAGCGTCTCTCAAAATGTGTGTGTTGCTGCTTTCCGTCATGGCGTCCACTGAAATGTAACATACAAGGGTCATTTTTTAAATGCACAAACCTCTGCGGCTCATACCTTTTTTGCCTTTTTAGACATTTACAAAGTAACATAAAAACAGGAGCACATCCATCTGTATGCCCACCAGCTGCCCGTGCTGTGCAAAAACAGACAAACTCAGCAGAATAAATACAGCTATTATTATTTCAGCTTCATTTTTTCAAATCACAAATCCCTTTTTTCGCTTGTCCTCCCGTCTCAAAGGAGTCCGTGTTTTGGGGTGGGGGTGGGGGGGGTATTGGGGGCGTGGCCGGTCACGCAGTCACTCTGGCCGTGGTTCTTCAGCAGTCACTTCGTAGACAATCAGGGGTCCCTCCCGTTCCAGAGCGGAGAGGAAGTCCCCCCCCGTTAGTTCCTGTCTAAAAGGTAAGAGGAGGGGGGCGTGTCTGAGGGGGGGGGGGCGGGGGCCGGGGTCATCATACGTGGCTCAGGGACTGGATGGCGCTGGACTCGGCGGCGGCTCGGGCCAGGCTGTGCCACATGGAGGCCGGGCTGTGGGAGGAGGGGTGCAGGGGGTCCTTCTCGGCCAGGGACAGCATCATGGCGTAGGCCTGAGAGGAGCGAGAGGAGAGGGGGGAGGTCACTATGCAGTACAGACAACAATAAACAACAACATATTCATTTAAATGGAACCAATACAGTTGGGGTATCTGAAGGAGGAGTAGGAGGAGGAGGAGGAGGATAAGAAGAAGAAGAAGAAGAAACAGAAGAAGAAACAGAAAGAGAAGAAGAAGACGATTAAGAAGTAGAAGAAGAAGCAACGGAAGAAGGAGAGGAAGAAGAAGATGAAGAAGAAGAAGAAGAAACAGAAGAAGAAGGAGAGGAAGAAGAAGATGAAGAAGAAGAAGAAGAAACAGAAGAAGGAGAGGAAGAAGAAGATGAAGAGAAACAGAAGAAGAAGGAGAAGGAGGAGATGAAGAAGAACATGATGAAGAAGTAGAAGAAGAAGAAACAGAAAAAGAAGAAGAAGGAGAGGAAGAAGAAGAAGAAGAAACAGAAGAAGAAGAAGAAGGAGAGGAAGAAGAAGATGAAGAAGAAACAGAAGAAGAAGGAGAAGGAGGAGATGAAGAAGAACATGATGAAGAAGTAGAAGAAGAAGAAACAGAAAAAGAAGAAGAAGGAGAGGAAGAAGAAGAAGAAGAAACAGAAGAAGAAGAAGAAGGAGAGGAAGAAGAAGATGAAGAAGAAACAGAAGAAGAAGGAGAAGGAGGAGATGAAGAAGAACATGATGAAGAAGTAGAAGAAGAAGAGACAGAAAAAGAAGAAGAAGGAGAGGAAGAAGAAGAAGAAGAAACAGAAGAAGAAGAAGAAGGAGAGGAAGAAGAAGATGAAGAAGAAACAGAAGAAGAAGGAGAAGGAGGAGATGAAGAAGAGCGCAAAAGGTCAAATAGTGACTCAAAAGGCTCATTCTTAAAAGTATGCAAACTATAAAATGTTTTCTAAAGATAAAAATAAAGACAAAGTATTGTGTTCTGAACTTTTTACTTTCATAATACTCTTTCTGGTGCGACAAACGACTTAAAAAGTAACGTACCACAGCTTTAAGACAAGAATCAAATTGGTGAAAAGGGAATTTTGGATGAATGTACAGGATTTTTTTTTTGCTGTTTATATTTATACATTGGGCATTTTGGCACACATGAAATAAAATCCACTGCTCGCTCCAGTCTCAGCAGCAGTGAGTGTAGTTTTTTTTATGACATTCAGAGCCAAAGACCAAACTGCAGTCATTTGAAAACCGGACCTGGGACTTGGACTTCCTGAACAGGGGCTGCTTGACGGCCTCAGACAGACTGGCAGAGCTGAACGAGCCCTCGTCCTCGTCTGCCTCGCTCAGCTCGCTCTCCTCCAGCTTCCTCAGCTCCGAGAAGTGATGCATGTGCTCCAGGGCGGAGAAGGCGCTCTGCTCTTCCTCCTCCTCCTCCTCTTCCTCCTCCTCTTTATACCTGCAGGTTAAAACACCACTGTAAGATCATCACATGTACAGTGTGTTCACAGCGGGGGGCTCCAACCGCCTTCACAAGGAGAGCGACTTTCTCTGGACTAGAAGGAGACCGAACTACATTCTCAGGACAAGAATGAGACCTTGCTACAGTACTTTCTCAAGACTAGAATGAGACCGAGCAACTTTCTCAGGACTAGAATAAGACATTGCTTCAGTACTTTCTCAAGACTAGAAGGAGACCGAGCTACTTTCTCAGGACTACAATGAGACCGAGCAACTTTCTCAAGACTAGAATGAGACATCACTACAGTACTTTCTCAAGACTAGCATGAGACCGAGTTACTTTCTCAGGACTAGAAGGAGACGTTGCTACAGTACTTTCTCAAGACTAGAATGAGACCGAGCTACTTTCTAAGGACTAAAATGAGACCGAGCAACTTTTTCAGGTCTGAAATAAGACCAAGCTACATTCTCAGGACGAGAATGAGACAGAGCTACTTCCTAAGGACTAGAACAAGACAGAGCTACTGTACTTTCTTAAGACTAGAATGAGCCAGAGCTACTTTTTCAAGACGAGAAAAAGACAGAGCTTCATTCTCTGGACTAGAATGAGACCGAGCTACCTTTTCAGGACTAGAATGAGACTTAGCTACTCCTTATATCTGGGGAAAAAGGAACCTATTGAATGATGAGAGCAAGCCTTAGACTATTATCATTATCTCATTCTTTCTAACTTAAATTGTGTTTTTATCTACAAAGGTTGTGGGAATGTGAATCACACATGATTTAATATTCACAATATTTATGTAAAATATAAATCCTTTTGAGAGCTATTTGGAAGGGGGAGGCGAGCTACTGTTGGAGGTTGGAGACCCCTAGTTTACAACTTAGTATGTTCTGTAGTTGTCTGTATTTTAAAACGTACGTACAAAAGACAAAAAAAACAACACACAAGCCCAACACTCTCTGACCCTACACCTCTCTCTATTTTTCCACATTAGGAGCAGAGATTTTACAAAACAGTAGTTCGTAACAGTAGCTAAAATTTACCTCCGCGGTGAGGTTTTACAGTTGAGCTTCAAGTCGGCGTTCTGGAAGTCCATGTCCTGCGCCGGGTCGTCACTGAGGTTCCCGCGCGGTGATTGGCTGTCGGGCTTGACGGCGGGCTGTTTAGGCTCCTCCCCCTCCTCTTCTTCAGCCCCCAGGTCCTCCGCTTCCTCGTCCTCCAGGTCATGTGATCCACGGCCGGACAGCAGAGGTTTCTCTTCTTCAAAAACAACGCCGTTCAACCTACACAACAAGGACATGGTCAGTATGAGAGAATTACTGTTTCTCAAACTGTGGTGCTTGGTTTGTTTTTTGTAATTTAATGCTGGTGTAACTAACTTTTTTGTTGTAAAAGTGTTGTGAGTAGGTCAGACCACACCCTATGAGTCACTATCTGATGCTTTGGAGTGAGAGCTGATTGGCTGAGAGAGATAGAAAGTTAGTATCAAAAACTAGATACTAATTTGAGAAAGAATACTGAAAATATTTACCAAAATCAAGACACATGTTTGATATATCTTGAGCTTTTTAAACAATATTTTAGTTATTTCAAACTCTATAGAAGATTATCTTGTGTAAAACCTTATGGCCCTATAAAATGCATTATTATTTGAGAGATTGTCCAAAAAAATGATCTATAAATAATTGTCATGGCATGGTAAAAATGTGACCAAAGCCAAACATACATGCATGGAAAATTAGTGAGACATTTTTCTGATAGTTGAAAGTTAGGTACCCCAGCTTTAAGTGATCATACTTTAGTCATCTTTATTGTTTTAATTTCTGTCCTTTTCTGTGATTTTTGAGTTACAGACTAATTTAAAAAAAACATACTAATTGTCAGGATATGTTAAATTTGGGGTTTTACAAGCAGTGAGCCACTTTAAGCCACTTTTGAACCACATTCTAATTTCCGAGTTTCATATGTTTAGCATTTTCGAATGTATCGCTCAGACACCAGTCCTGAACACGATGGAATAAAAACCTCCATGTACTCGCTGATGGTGTAAGGCCGAAAACCCGTTTGTCATCGTGGCTCTGGGGCCGTCTGGGCACTTAGCCGGAGTGCTCTGTCTGCCTCCTTGTTTATTTTCCTTCTATCTCAGATTCATCTAATAGGCAAAATATTTAGCTGACAGGCCCATTTGGAGCAGAATTATGAGAGCTCTGCCAACCGGATCATTCCTCTGCCCTGTCAGCGAGAGTCAGCGAGAGCAGCGAGGCTATCCTAATCTATCCCCTGCTTCTCCGCGCCACAGGAAACTCACTTTTGGTAAATCATCTGGAACCACATAAGGACCCATTCCCTAATTATGCTTTGGGTCGTCTGTCGTCAGCTCCAAAAAATGTCACTTCTGGCAACAAAAGGCGTGGAGTTACTACGTTAGAAGCAATGTACTGTAGTCCATGTAGAAGGACACCATGAAATCAGAAGAAGAATTGAGACGATTCGAGATGACTATTTCATTGCATTTATTTTGTGTCTTTAGATTATGTTTGTGCGTGTGTGTGTGTGTGTGTGTGTGAGGGACCAGCTCTATCCAACCGTAAGACAAAATCACCTGTTGCTGAGGAAAGACATTTTGAGGTCATTCAGGAGATATTTTAGTTGAAATTAAAAATATGATGATCCTATTTTGTGATCACTGTAAAACAGATACATTCTACACTACCAAGTCGCCACAGTATTTTATCGGGAGGATAATAATGGATGATCTGATTTAAAATCAGAGCTGAAAGAAGGACAAGACATCAAAGCAGTTTCTTACATTTGAAGTGAAATTACACAAAGCAATTCATCCAATCGATTGATTCCAGACACAAATAATCTATGTTTATTCTATGTTTCTATACTCTAAAATAAACAATATAATCTAAAATAATATGAAATATTTGCAAACAATTTAAATGTTCCTTTTTTTCTTTCTTTCATTCCAATGCCATGTCACCATTCATAAAAAGCATTGGAAATGATGAATTATGAGGTAATAGTTGCTTGAATCAAGTGTTTTTTTTTTTTTAATCTTAATTTGAGTTCATTCTGACAGGCTTAAAACAAGATTTTTGGCAATGGGACAACGCCATATTGTCTTATTTCAAGAACTGTAGATTTATTTTGTAATTCCAAAGGAGACATTTCTTGTATATTTTTAAAAACCAGATTATATTGCATGTCCCATTGGCAAATCTTGCTTTAAGGCTTTTTGACTTGTTTTTCATCACTTTTTGCAGTGTACCACATTGCTCCCCCTTTGCACCAGTCTCTAAAATCCAAACACGGGGAAAGCTGAAGCTAAAAGCGTCTTGCTCAAGGACACAACAGATGATTACCTCAAGTTTAGTCTGGGCGCTCTCTCACATTTCATATTTGTTTCCTTTCAGTCTGCTGCTGATAATAGCGCGTCCTCTGGGGGGTATCTGTCGGAGCAGGGGATGACAGAGCGCTGTTTGTGCCGAGCCTCGAGGCCCTACAGGACGGGCTCCAGAGGCTCCAGAGGCCGAGCTGCAGAGCTTGGGTGATTAAGAAAACAGATTCGCTAATTACGCTTTCAAACGTGGTAATTTGCCGGGGATAAAGTATCTATCAGGAGTCGTCAGGAGCAGGGCACTTTGAAAGGAAACACGGCGGGACCCCTGACCTCTCTAGCCCCCTCTCTGGCCTCTTCCTGTAAGGCGCGCACACAGGTTGTTTCCAGATGTGCCGTGGCTAAAGATGCTACGATGCTAACGATGCAGTCTGCGAGATTCCTATCAGGAAATTGCACCCCCAGTCCGCACCGCTGGGAGGTATTCAAAACATGTTGGACCGGGTCGAAGCTTCTCTGAGTGGGGAGAGATGGGCCGTGTGATTTTCGAGAGTGTTTGGACAATGTTTACATAATTGGTTTGACTCTTGTGCATTTGCATTTTCGGACAACGTTGCTAAACGGGTGAAATTTGAGAAAGTGGTTCAAAAGTCTATTTACTTGCTGTCGTTCTACTTACAATGTGAAATAATCATAGACGAGAAAACCATACACATGCAAAGTGAGATATGGTCAAGAGTTCTTATTTTATTTTATTTTATTCTAGAGTTATTATTCATTTATCCTGTGTGCTTCTCATCCCTACTGCTCTGTAACATGAAATGCAACACTGAAATTTCTCCAGTGGGGCACGAAACAAGGATCTCTTAATCTTAATCTTATAATGTTGGGAATCGTCTCATACTGTAGCTTGTAAAAAATATATATATATATTTTGGACAGTAAGCCAGTCAAACAAATTCAATTCAACGTTTTTTTTTGTTCTGCCCTAAATCGCAACAGCAGACGTCTCGGAGGACTTTACAAAGTTTTTGATTCTTCAGCAACAGAAAGACAAACACAGGAAATGCAATAATAACAAACACATAGGGGGCATTGGTCCATAGGGAGCGTCATGACCAGTGAGCATAAATAAACTAATTCATAGACTAAAATATCCAGCACTTTATGGACAAAGTCTAGGCATATGTTGCTTTGCTTTTGTTGAGTCTATCTTTTGTTATTATAGATATATATTAAAATATACCCACATATGCAATCAGAATGCTAAAAACTTGTTAGAGTGACATTTTTTGTTGTTAAGATAATCCCAGTTTTTACCACCACAAAAAACAGGTCTCCACGTTAAGATTGTGCTGCACAGGCATTTTGGCACAAATTATAAAACAAAAAAATATTCTGTTTGCTTCCGTGAGATTGGTTGGTATTATCTAAAGCCGCAGTGACGAACACAGCAGTTTACAAATTGTTTAAATAAATGTGTTGTTTTGTGTAGTGTATGTCTTAAACTGGACTGTTCTATAATAAAGTTTGACGATGATGATGACGATAAAGTTACAATCATTAGTGTCACGTAACACAATACCGAAAACACAATATCCCTCGTTCAAAATCACTCCTTTTACACGGTCGAATGCAATCAGATATAGTGTGAGTTTTGCAGTAAAAATCAAACAGCCAATCCCTTCTCTTCCAGCATCTGTCCCGTCCCTAATGAAGCACCTGGGTGGTTTGCTCCGTAACTTTAAATGGGCCATAAAAGCAGACTTAGCATCAGGCTATCAGGGGCCTGCGTCATGGTGCAAGAGTTCACTTCTCAGCCATACGAGCGTTATTACCTGCTGTTTACCATAATGAGAGGATTTTGGACGAAGCATGTTTTTATATTTTTTACAAGGGCCATTAGAGAGATTATGGCAGGCTCACCCTTCTTCGGATGGGTCTGGAGAGGTCTGGTTGTGTCCCGCGTTGCTGATAAAGTTTCGGATCTCGTTGAAGTAGGAGTCCTCTTTGTCGTCCAGTATGGCGCTCCCGCTGTCCAGTTCAGACTGAGGGGAGGACATGGCAGTGCCTGAAGAGGGAACAGGGAGATGAAAGCTAAGGTTACGCTGCGTAACTTTTTCAATAATAAATGCTGTTTTTGCCCCCACTGAAAAAAAAAAGTCTTGTATAAGTAAATTAAGTTTAAGTGTTATGAAAAAGTCTGGCCACAACTTCTTGCATATTTTTATAGTACTTTTTGCATACTTGTTGGAAAGAGCCACTATTTGATGCTATGGGCTAAGAGCTGAGAGATGGTGGTCCTATAAATGACATCCGTATGAAAGCTAGAGATAGAACCAAACTGTTTTGATAGCGAGGTACTATAGTTGGACGGATTTTATGACATAATTAAACTGTATGTCAGATCAGATTCAGTTTATTTGCCATTTGCAGTAAAAACACCACATAGGAATACATTAGCAAAAGTTACCAGTGTGCACAGACAAATACAGACATGTATGTGGTTTGTAAAGTTATGTACCCCAGCTTTAAATGTGGAATATGCAGCATACAATGTTTTACCAAGAGAGAAAATGGGATTATATGTATTTTTCTGTTGAAGCATTGCCAATACACAGTGAAATTGTAATTGCAGAACTTTTGCCAAACCACATTAGGAGGGATGCTAACTTTAAAAAAAATCAGCATTTTATTTTGGACCAGATGTGACCAAATGTGCTGTTGCATTTTTATCCTATTGTTAGCTACTTTCAGAATTATCTATATGTTGGTTTTGTTTGTATGGATGGATGTGTTTCTGCTGCTAATGGACACCTGAATTTACTCTACGGGGATCAATAAAATATCTTTCTATCTATCTATCTATTTACTACTAAAACAGAGATAAGCAGTAATTTTGAACATATTCACAATATTGCAATCAAAGCATCTCAAAGTCAGTCTTAAATTACTGCATTGTACTTTACCACAAGATTCTAAAACAGGCATCAGAATAAATGTTTCATAGTCTTGTGAGAATCAAGAAAGAGAATTTCAGTCATTTCTGAGCGCAACGAATGAAATAAGAATTCTTAATCAAGTAAATATATTGTGCACTCTGGGGAAGTGTTCAGATATGGTCAGCGTTACTGAGGGTCTGGCTTTATGGCTCAATAAACATTTGACAGAACTTAGAACATCATTCATTTCTGAGCTTTCAGGCTGAGCAGAATATAAAGAAACCAGCCGTCTCATTTGGCTCTAATCCATCCGTCAAACACGAAAACGGAACCACCAGACAGTAAAGAATTTTAACTTTTCAGAGATCATCACAGCAATCGAATCACAGTTGCTTCCATATAAGTTCATTTTGTGGACAGGAAATACTGTCAATATTGAACACAATTCTAAGTAGTTTTTTTTAAATATTGTCTATTAATCGCTCACTGAAGTACACTTGATACTGGGCAGTGCTCTGGGCCAGTGGGCAGTGGTCTAGGCCAGTGGTCAGCGGTCTGGGTCAGTACCTGAGAGGTTCCCGTTCTCGTGCTTCTTGAGGTGGCGGTCCAGGTTGGTCTGCTGGCCGAAGCAGCGGTCACACAGGTGGCACTTGAAGGGCTTCTCCTTGTTGTGGATGTTGCGGATGTGTCTCTGGAGGTTTGACGAGATGCTGAAGGAGCGGTCACAGTACTTACACCTGCACAGACCGGACACAAGGGGAGCAAATGTTGAGAAGTGTGAGATGTTTATGGCTTTTCACCCCATGGATCCACTGCAGGGGTTCTCGAGTCGGCCCTCAGAGGTCTGCCATGGCTGCAGGTTTTCCTTGCAACCAACTGGGCTCACTTTGAATGGTTGGAGAAAACCTGCAGCCACAGCAGCCCTTTGAGGACCAAGGTAAATACAGGTGCTAGTGTAGGCTTGATTACACATCACACAGCAACATTGTCCGTGGTTTGTTTAAAGTGTGCAATGTGTTAGAAGCAAAATGTCAATGGTAAATAATATTTATAGTAGTTTATATCATATCAACTATATATAGTAGTTGCAGTCTGTGAGACAAAGAGGAAAAAAGACAAGTATTAAGTGTGATTTAATGAAGAATATGTGTCTTTCTTGAAGTTTATATTTCCAGAAAGTGAAAAAAATATGTCTAAATATATATATATATTATATATATATATATATATATATATATATATATATATATATATATATATTATATATATATTTACAGTATATATTTTTTTTCTGTACTTAAACAATATTCTAATCTTTTGAACATGTCAAAGTAAACGTTTATAGTGATTGTGTGAATTCAAGAAATGCAGAAAAATGCCTTCTGAAATAAATTCAGACGGCAAAACTGTTATTGTTCGTAGATTTATGACACATAAAGTGACATTTGTGAAAAAGAAAAGAAAAACCTTTCACTTACTGAAATGATTACCAAATGTCACATCTTTTCCACTTTGAAGTCACATTTGAAACATATATATATAGTCAACTTTAAAATGTGAGGTCTAATCCACACATTTCACTCAAACCCTTCTCAAACCTGTATCTAATTCTGTTGTTTTGTATTGTACCGGTTTTGAAATAGAAATCTTGCTTGATTGATATTTTGTGAAAGCTGATGTGAGACCAGTGGTACAATAAGGTATAGTCCATGCACATGATCCCAATCATAGTGACAAAAATATTGAAATATCTCTAACTATAAGTACTTCAAAGGTGCTGAACGCTGTACACTCGATACAAACCCCATGCCAACACATCCATTAAGAAGCCCGAGACCCAGGCAAAAAGACATGCCTCACAAACAGCCTCCCAAACACGTCAAAACTCACTCCAAAAGTGTTTGTTTAAAAGTTCTTGAGCCGAAACCACTCCCCTCTGACAAGTACACTGCGCAGCCCTGCACGCAGCTAAGTGCCCTGGCAGCCCCACGCCGTAATGAATGTGCCTGTGTGTTCTATAGCGAAACATAATGGTCCATCCACGCAGACAGTCCCAGCAGTCCCCACGCTTTCCAGCCTCTATGATGGAGTAGCCTGTTTTAGGTAGAGCCGCCGCGTCTTATCTGCAGCCAGAGCAATAAAAGTGCATTCTCCCCCCCGCACTAAACAAGCACGCGAAATCACAGCCCGCTGCCAAGTTTCTCCATGCAAAATTATACGAGAAGATTACATCGTTTCTTCTGCTGGAATTAGCTTGCACGATTGGCCCTCCCTCAGGAACCCCCTCGGTTATCTCTACGAAAAAATTACAATAATCAAGGGCAGAGCTTTAATAGTGTGCCAAGCGAAAGGGGCAGTTGAGGCGGGTGGGAAGGGGGGGTGGGGGGTGTCTGCTGTTGGACTCTCCCTGTGGTCAACAAGCCTCCTGCATGGACCGGCCAACATTCCGCTGGCGTTAGAGCCCGAGAAGTGAGGGAAGAGGACCAGCCAAAGTTTGTCTATAATAATAGTAATAATAATAATAATAATAATAATAATAATAATACCAGTGTTGCATATGTGTTTGCTGGACATGTTGCCAGAGTGACTGTGTATGTGTAGAAAGGACCAAAAGGACAGACGTAAAGCAGGCAGGGTGCAAAGCTCTCCTTATGTTTGCATCAGCTATGGCGCTATGGGCAGTATTCATTAGATTAAGATTAAGATTAAGAAATCCTCTATTTGTGCCACAGTGGGGAAATTTCAGTGTTGCATCAGTAACAGAACAGTAGGAATGAAGAGCACCCAGCACAAGATAAGATACATGGACACAGCTCTATACTAACTAAAATAACACTAAATCTCTATCTTTAGCATAATAAGGAAGCAATCTATAATCTCCAACTTTAGCATAATGAAGAAGCCAGAATTAAGAAAAAAATCTCTGACTTTAGCATGATGAAGAAGTATAAAACATGAGTACCTTTGGCATATAATATTAATATATTTTATTGGGAAGCAGCAATTTATATGTGCTTGTTTGTCTCTGTGGAGATGCTATTATTATGTCTAGAATGAGTCGTAATATTTATAAACGTATCATCCTCGAGACTAGAGTTCCATCCCTCCATAAAAGATTTGTGGAGTGGAGACAGTGGCGTTTCAGATTCATGCAACTATAAATGGAACAGTTTTCCTGCAAATGTGAGACAGACCTCTACTCTGACAGGGTTCAAATCCAGGTTAAAAACAGTTGTGTTTAGTTGTGTATATAAACTGGAGGTTTTTATCTTCACTCTTTTTAATGCACTGTGATTTTATATGATTTGAATGCCTCGTGTGTTATACAAATACATTTGCCATGCCTTATGGAATTGTTTGATGACTATTTCTGGCCATATGAATACAACTTTTTATTTATTAATTTAATGACAAACACACGCACGCATGTTTAAATATTTGTTATAATTTTCAGGCCATTTTAAGGGAAAAAAACGATAAATTTTTCTTTCAAACTTTCAGATTTCTCGATGTTTTTCAAATGGCATCAGATTAAAATAAAACAATATTCTGCACTTTTTTTCTGCAGTCATAACAAAACACAATTGAAACTAATCTAATCTAACTGAATACATAAAATACTAAAGTTTACTTCTATGTGTGGGGAATAAAAGAGTGGGGGTCTTTAAAAAAAAATCTCAAACAGTCACTTATAACAGGCTGCAAAGATTATGGGGTTAAGATAAAAAAAGGCAAACAAAGAGAAATCTCCTCTGTTTCGTTTACTTGTGTTGGTTTGGTCAGGAAAGCTTAGGTCACAGCTGTTTGTCTGGACATCTGCCCCTCATCCTACCCCTCCCCCTCAACCCCCCCTCTCTTTTCCTGTCACCGCGGCGACCGACACCATTGCTCACTAACTACACTACCACTTAAATATTCCAGCCTTTAGCAGCAGGAGAAAACATACATGAAGTTAGTGGGGACCAGGGACAGGACTGGCCTGGGAACAGCTGCGTGTGTGTACTGCTTTAAGACTGTAGACTATAGACTTACCTATAGGGCTGCTCTCCTGTGTGGGTCCGGAGGTGGCGGGTCAGGTTGGCGGAGCGAGGGAAGATTTTGCCGCAGTATCTAACCACAAATAAACACAAAATGAAATTAATATTACTTAAAAGGCTTGTGACATTCCTGAATTTACAGCCGGTTCGATCATATGTGGATCCCTCTCAAGTTTCTTAGTTTTCTCCCACTGGGTTTTTGAGTCTCTCTTGCCGATGCAGAAGGGTCTGAGGACAATTGATGACCCAGGACATTTACCTCTAATTTAATATCATACTCCAGGACACCCTTTGAGAATCGACACTGTTAAATGTCATTATTGTGTGTATTTACATATTATGTGATTAAGAGTTTTTTATGCATACCCTTACTGTATATCTGTTTTTCTCCCTTTTTGAGAACTTGTCTGCATTATATACCAACGTAAATTCCTTGTTTGTGTCTTCCTGTTACTTACAAATTCTGATTGTGATCTAAGGATATTTTTGAAGATATTCCTGTATATCCATACTGTAAATCTCCCATTGTACATGAATGAACATTGGTCGTCCTGGTTCTTTTGGACCAGTGGCTTCTATGTGTTTCTTTTTATTGCATTTTTGTGTTTGAACTGTCTGATTTTCTGTTGTTAACAGATCAACAACTTTGTAAAGTCCTCTGAGAAGACTGCAGTAGGGCTGTACAAGAATACATTGAGCTAAATGGAATACTCGTCCCTTCCATGATCATCTGGTTGTATGGTTTTGTGATGTCACACACAGACACCTCTACCTCCTCCTCCTGGGGGTCTTACCTGCAGGTGTAGCGCTCCTTGCCCTTGCGCAGCAGCGTGTCTGGGAGCGCCGTGGGAGGAGCTCTGAAGTCAAACATAGAGGGCACCGAGCGCAGCAGGTCCCCGGTGTCTGGCTTCAGGGATCCGAACGTTTCCAGCTTCTCCGCCATGTTCTCAATCGCCGACATCTGACAAAGACAAGAGAGAGAGTGTTTTTATCGCAACAGGATTAAACTATTATCAATCAATCCATTTTCGTCCCCTTTGTCCATTTCTGGGTCGGCAATCAGCTGCCACCCAACATTCATACATGTGCATACATGTATGCACATTTATCAACATTCATGGACATTGGTCAACTCCCTATGGACCAATACCCATGTGTTCTATATTTTTTGTGTTTGAACCAGTGGGGGCGGGTTTCGGCTCAAAAGTGGCCAAAATGACGTACGCTGACATGCTTGCAATACCACCCCGGGACGATGGGGGTGGACCCAGAAGTAGAATTAGCCAATGCTAACATATAGTTACCAACTGAGCCACTGTGGCCCCAACAAGATTAAACTATTGTCATAAATATAATCATCGGTTATTTTCAGACATTTGTGACAATGAATGAATAAACGGAACATACATTTTATCCATTGTTTTACCATTTTGAAATCACATTCCTCTTTATCATGAGATGAATGTGATTGGACAGCTGCCCACTCCCACTGGTTTTCACACGCATGCATTTTTGGCCTCATTTTTTGTCACATCTTTCAATCATTGTTTCCCGCCCTCACTCAGCCAATCAGCTCTCATTATTTAAAAAGTACATTCATTTATAATAAAATAAATACAACAGTGGTCTGATTTGTTCACAAAAGGATCCCTCTGATTGGACTCCTTCTGATTGGACGAACCAAATGTATATGAATCATGAAAATTTACTTTAAAATGACAAGATTCTGAAGCATAAATGCAGTGTAATTTCAGATGGATGTCAGAAAGATTCACAGGTTGTAATCCACATTTACAATACACAAATCACCTTTTGAGATGTCGTCATATAAATTGTATGGGTCCTATAGGTTGAACAATGGCAAATATATCTGTAATTTTTGGTGGATCTTTCAATAAACTAATGACAATAACGACATTAACAAAAAAAAAACTAGTGAATTGTTTGTATTGACATGACATACTTTTTTTTTTATACATTTGACACCTACAAATCCACCCATCTCAATATAAAACTTTCCCCTGCATTAAAATCTCACATCTGCATCCAATCTGCTAATGAACCTATGCATTTCCGACGGACCAAATCACTCATATCGCCCTCGGCATGTCAATACAGGATCAACGGCTGGCCTGGCGGTGGTCACGCTTGATTCACTCCCTCCGGCAAAAATATATGTGCAAAGAATGTTTTGGTAATGTAACGCTGAGAATGTCTATTTTTTTTCTCCTTTTTTTTCTCTCCCCTGCTTCAAACCCGGCGCAAGCATACATATAGTATATATATATATATGTGTGTGTAGGCTGTGTGTGCGTGTGGCAGAGGAGTGATTCATGTCCATTGGTGGGGCTGTAAACCATTCCCAGCACAATGCGGCCAGACAGCACATTCGTCAATATGAAAGATGTTGACATTACTGATCAAGGGCCAGACACGGGTAATAATGATATCGCTGCGCTGAGAGGAGGCGGGACGGGACAGCAGAGAGGAGGAGGAAGAGGAGGGGGAGGGATGAGGAGGAGGAGGAGAAAAGGCTCTATGCATGTCTATCTATGTCAGGCTGTGTGTGAGTTTGCATGGATTTGGGGTTTCCGATATAAACAAAATAGCTGCATCTATATGTAATGGTTTTTCTGCCAGCTATTCAAAGCATCTCATCTCATCTCAGAATTCAGTTCTGGAAGTTTGGGTATATTGTGATAACATGGGAGATCTGAGAAAGAAAAAGAAAAAATTCTATTCTATATTTGCAATGCTCTAGAAAAAAAATCTAAAGTAACTGATACAATGCAAATTGGGATGGGATGGGTAATCACAATTTCCTTTCCCCCTTTTCCCCATCTTGATGTCCTATTCCATTTTTTATGCTTTGAATAAATTATAAAGTAAAAACTGGTGAAGTCCAAGAAATATTTTTTTCAAGCCAATCTTAGTGAAAGGCAAGGACACAGGACTGAATGATAGTTGGATCTTTTGATTTTTGCACTAAAGCAGGTCTTTGGAATTTTTATTTTAAACATTTTAATCTTTTTATTACTTTGGTATGAACTTCCGGGATAATGTTTGATTGATCCAAATTTATTCCCTAATTGATTGAACAAAATCAACACAAAACATACACAAAACAGTACGGCTTACTTCTCGATTTTAAACTGATTTGTAGACTTTTTTTTAATACAGAAATTAGCTTCTCAATGCTTCTAAACACATGTATGTATTGCCAAAGTTAAGTTAAAAGCTTGAACATTTGAAAGTTCCGCTAAAATAATATATTGTTTAATTACAGTAACACCTAAAACAAAACAAATCCTTAAAGAAGCTGCAATAGAAGCTTGTGCTGAAGATTATATGCATTTTTAAGGCTGCATCGCTCCTGCTTATACCGCCAGCTCTATTCTCAGCCCATTTTGCATTGTTTAGCATGCAACATCGGGCCTGTTTCTTATTCAAATTCCAATAAAGCCAACAAATGAATTGTGATGCAGGTCTTCCAGACATTCCATCTCCGCCCGTCACCTTTTGTCGGGCCGTGGCATCGCTCCAGGCTTTGAGAGAGAGAGAGAGAAAGAGAGAGAGAGGGGAGCATCTCTGAAGACATGTAGGGTGCGAGGCAAGAAGCAAAAGGATGACTAAAGAGTGTTCTAATGCGCAGAGGCAGGCCGGGGCTGGTTATTGGGACTGACAGGCCCAGTGTAAAGTTCTCGCAGAGGGAGGATGTTGGGTGTCGGCTCCGTTTGATTATGAATATGGCAATGCTGCTCGCTATGAATCAAACGCAGGCGGAGACGAGAGGGAGAGGAGAGGGATGAAGGTATAGGGAAAAGCCTTTACGGGAAGAAAAGGGGAGAGAAACGCTTTTATATTTCTACTGAAGGTACAGAGACTTTCATTGCGACGATGAGGAGATAAATCTGGGCTAAAGCTTGAGCGCTAAAGCTGTCAGCCGGAAAAAAAAATACTTTGGTGAAACAGCAGTTCTGGGATACAGCTGTGTTTGAAAGTTTACATCCCCCTGGCAGAAATGTCCTTGTTTTGGTGATGTTTTAGAGATCTGTAATCTACAATCTCACGCTCATTCTTCATGGTTGTGTCAAGCTGTATATAGTCTAATAATTGTCACATCAATAGGTCTTTTTATGGAGGGATTTAATATGCTGTTTATGCATGGCAGTCCAGGAATTTACCGGAACTGGAGGAAGAATGGGCAGGTTTCCCATCAGAGAGGATACAGAACCTCATCCACTACTACCACAAAACACTTCAAGCTTCTCAGAGATGTTAAAGGGGATTTGCACACTATTGAGAACTGGGGGATGGAGACTTCTGAGCAGGATCATTTGGGTAGTTTCTATTGTCATCATAATTTGAAACGAAAAGCACATTTATTTGATAATCTATGGCTTCACCTAACCACTAACAGCGAGACGAGAGGAGCGATATCATAAAAAAAAAACATCTCCATTGTGAGATGAATTAAATTTAACTTATCTTGATCTCCAAAATATGTCAAAAAAAAATATTGGAATTTTTGCTTGGGGGTGGGGAATCAACTTTCATTGATCAAAGGCCATACTTTCTCTATCAAAGGCCACACATGGAGATACAGGACAAGATGGAAAGGGGGAAAAAAAATGTTTCAAATTAAAGAAATTAGCATGTTTTTTTTCCTACCGCAAAAATGTATGCTTTTGTTTTATAATTCATTCAGAGCTATTCATGCAGTAACAACTGTATCACAACTATATATAATATATGCACAAATGTCTATAATGTGACTGATTGATTTTGTGAACTATGCTTGAACTTTCTGTATTACTCATTAGTACGGTGTAAGTGGTCAAGCTACAATTCAAGCAACAATTCTTAAGCATTTCCCAAATAATCCACCCGATCATCGTGAGGCCTATTATTATCATAGCAGTAAAACTTGTGTATTTTCAATGGAAGCTGCAGTCAAACAATTAAGCCTCCATAAAACCTCCAATGGCTTTTGTAGTGGAGCGGTAAATGATTTTTATATGGGCCCTGGTCATTACTTATATAAATGCGGTTATCAGCCTGCTGCGGATCACACTTCAAAAACCTGTGTGTGTTTTTATGGGACGATGAATCAGGGTCATTATCCCCCGTTTTGCCCTGCGCTGCGTTACACTTAAACAATTTCAAGTCATTTTTCAAAGCTTTTACACAGGCTTTTGTAGACAGACCCCCCACACCCACACAAACGGCCCCTCCTCCTTTGTCTGTGAACTTGCTTGTTGCTATAGCGCCGCACTGGGACCGGCGGTTGATTGGCTGTCCTCAGATGTCAGTGATGCTGCGAGGGCCTTAATTAGCGGGATGCATTCTCGATTGTTGATCTTTATCGGTAACCAGATGTTTAAACCCCCCCCCCCATCCCTCTGCACTCCTTCGCCTGTGTCCCAAAGAGACTGTTACCCCCAGCGCTGATAGAAAGCAGCCTACCGCCCGGCAGCCAACTCATGCCCATTTTGAAGGAGCGCATGGTTGTTCTACAAATAAGCAATGTTTAACTGTGGAGATATAGACAAGATGAAGTAGGAGATGTGGAAATTCCCCGCAAAAAAAGGCTTTTATGAGGGGATGTAGCCTAATTAGTCCCAAAACGGGCTGAAATCGAGCCAATCTAGGCGTCATTCACACTCAAGCCAAAGAACAGCATCTTTCCGATCATGGTTTCTTTCTCTCGGATCGTTTTGTTGAAATTAGATGAAAGATTGTTTTTGGATAGTGAGTTTTTCTTCATCTATATTACAGAGGTCATGCGTGATTGGTTAAAAAAGAATTGATATAGCCTCTGAGAGTTAAGGGAAAGTGTAAGTGTGAGCAAATACACAAATGAGTTTGGATCAAAGAAAACATTGCCATAATGTGTTCAAATATATATGTGTTTATGCGTAACCCTACATGATGTAGTTTTACTTAATTTAACCAAATGGTGTTGGTGTCAAAATAAGATTTGGTTTTCAGAGAAAGGCACATTCCCACTTGGAATGAGGGGCAAAATTACAGTATTTGTTCTAATTTCCGCAAGAAAAAAATCAAATGTTTGAAAAATAGCCCATCACATTTTGGGTCAGAAGATGATGTATGATTTAAGTGATCGAAATACAGAAATACTTTTAGAATAAAGACATAGATCACTTCCATTCTCAATGTTTTGCAGGGTCTATCTATTACAGTGCACACAAATCAACTGGCTTGTAAAATGTATCATTTTTAAATTAGCATTGGAACTTGTTCAACAAAATTTCGGAAAATGTGACTATGCTTTTAAAGTACAGTGATATTTCCGGTCACAATTGGTGGAAGGGTGAACACAAAACCATTACTGCTGAAGCCATGCAGACTGAAAAAAAAAACGGTTTTGAACTGGATTTTCAAAATGACTATAATAATAATAAACAACCAAAGCCATGCGACAAACGGTGATGCCCGGACATGACTTACAGCCCATGCAGTATGTGGCTAAGTATTTATGCGTTTTTTAGTAATACAGGTACAAATTTGTGTCACAAAGAGGAACTTACCCAAGTCCTCTGATCTGGCAAACGAAACTGAGAGGTGGAGACAGAGGGACAGAGGAGGCAGTCAGGACCAGGAAGTAGCCAATGAATCAACACCTTTTGATTGGATACACATGTGCTTTCAGAGGGAAAGCTGTGGTCCGTATCATTAACTCCAAATGAGCAATGCCTATCTGCGGAGTTATGGCTAAGGAGCTCTGGTCGCCTCTAATAGTTGCCGACACGTCCGAGTTTTCAATAAGCTCATTATAACTGCCTACAAATGTGATTCCTGTATGTAATCCTAGCCTCTATAGCTCTGCAGTAAAAGCCATTGCCAGGAAATAAAAAGCTGAATCACTAGTTTGAAAAAAAAGGAAACGTTTTTGATTCACCAAAACTGAGTCAGGTGACTGAAAGTTAACCCCTAAACTGGGAAAAGGGCCCCCGGTCTGCTTTGGCTGGGCTGCTGGGCTGTCTCTGGGAATAATTTGTGTGTCCAGACATCATAAAGTCATAAAGATGGCATAAGCACTCTGTTAGTGTTTCTACTGATAGGACACCTCATTAAGGACTATGGGACGGCCCTGTGGCTGCTGCCGGCCAGGCCCATGCAGCAGTCTGGACAGGGGACATAAATCAGACAAATGAAACAGCCTGTAAAAACCAGACCTGAAACGAGCAGAGAAAGAAAGAAGGAAAAAAAAAACTGTACGCTTGAGAAAGTGGTGTTTTCACTTTCCCGACGAAGCGTTCTCACCCGCAGGCTAAGAGCGGACAAATGAACGTCAACGCAACACTTCATAGCGCCAACTTTTGGACACACACAATACTTGGCCGAACATTGAAAGCCAACCCAGGGGCAGATACCAGGGATTTAGAAGCATATCATTTTATTTTTTATATTGTAATCATAGACACATTACGTGAAGACATGCCACACTGTGCCCCTTTCTTGCTGCCACATCTGTTTTACATAGCGCCAATGGTCTTAACAGGCAAAGACTGTAGCCACATAGTAATACCCATTAAGTCTACATGGTCAAGCCCGAAAAGCCATTTTGAATTACTGCTCCCCATAGAGAGAACAGTGTAATATCTAGACTGGTTATGCTGTTGTAAAACCTAGAACTATGGAACAGCCATCAAACATGGACAGGCAAGCCACAAAATGACAAGGTATACTCAGTTTACATTTATATTATCCTGCAAAAATGTTCCACTAGTATATGCAGTCTACCTTGAGAAATGGTCTTACCTGGGGGTGAAAGAGGAACCCTGGTGCTGGTCGCATGTACTTGTCCTTCAGCGTCTCAAATGGATCACTCATTCTCCTCTTCTCAACCCTGCTAATGGTAAATTTCAATCAGCTCTTAACACACATTGAACTGCACATACATGATTCTTGAGAGAAGATCAGGACAGTCAGATGGTGACTGTTGGGTTAAAGCCATACCTGTAGATAGGGTCCATGAAGAACGGAGTAGGGCGGGCATGCTGTAAAGACATGTCAGCCTTGGGGACCTCCAGAATGGCCTTTCCTTCATTGTAAGTCTTCTTAGTCTCCTCTTCTTTCCCGCTGCGTCCTCGTACCCGGGGCCCCAGGCTTAGATCCAGAGGCTGATCCTGGTTGGTTTGGGAGGACACTGGTTTGGCGGGGACAAGCACCTCACTTTTCTCCTCCTTACGCTTGGTAGTTAAGTCGAAAGGTGATTCTGCTTTTACTTTTTTGGAGTCTTCTCCTGGTGACTGGGGCTGGCCCTTAAGGCCTGGAGGTTTGAGATCTCTATCTTGGAATGGATAAACTGGAGGAGAAAATCCAGGGAAGAAAGGCAGTGGGAACATTGAGGGGTAGGGCAGAGAACCCACTTTCTTTTCTTGGAGGCCAGCAAGTCCAGTTGAACCAAAGTATTTCTCTGCAATAGAGGCAATAGCCTTAATAGAGTCATTGACAGCCCCTGTGACGGCTGTGTGCTCATCCAGCGAGGAGGGCATCAAAGAGGGGCCCGGGAAGTCTTTAGCAGCACTGTTGCCCAGCAGCTTGGGGCTCTGGGTGCTTCCCTCACTGGCCTTCCGTTTGGACACTTTACCATTCTCCCTGGCAGCTCCACGCTCCCTCTCACTGTCCATGTCACTCTCCAGCTCTGAGCCTGAGGTGCTCTCCAGGTCACTGCCACTGGGAGTGCTGACATCATCCAGGTCACTGCTCTCTGACTGGTCACTCTGCTTGATACGCTTTGATGAGGTGTGAAGATCAGCAGCGGTCATCTGGATGCGAGGAGAACTTCCATCTTTACGCAGAGCCTTGAGCAGCTCTTGAGAGTCATGAGCCCCAGGGCTGGACGGGAGAAGCTCTGGCCCTGACCCTGGATTGTGGGGTAGCTGTCGGATGGGAGAAGTGGTGGCAGGGATGAGAGGGGGGCGGTGGTACAGTCCAGAGGGGAACAAGCCGGGGAAACTGAAGGGAAACGCAGGAGCTGCAGGGAAGGTGAGCCCAGCGTGGTGGCGGCTCGCGCCAAAGTAGTCCGCCAGTCCAGCACTGGTGTGGCCCATGGCCAGGGCGGATTTGTCCAAGCCAGGGCCTCCAGGCAGGGGCATGCCCTGGGCAAACAAGCCCCCGGCAGTGAAATGATTCTTCCCCTCACAGAAGCGCCGGTGCTTGTTGAGGGATGATGTAGTGCTGAACATCTGCCCACAGTCTTTGCACTTGATCTGCGTGCGGCAGTCTGCGTGCATGCGCTTGTGACGACACAGGTTAGAGAACTGTGTGTAGGACTTGTGACAGACTTCACCTGTAGAAACATGGAAACAGAGGAGCAGTGGATTAGTGCAGAACAAAACAAGTGCATGAAAGATAATACATTACAATGTAGGTTTGTGTGCCACCAAATGTCCAGAGAATAAGATAAATAAGGATGATTCAATAATTATATTGATCGGTTACCATGCACAACTTCAAAGTTATGCACAGCAGAACAAAGTCAAAGATACTTTGATTTGGCAGATTCCATTATGACACACATTTACTTTGGTGGAAGACAGACCTATGACACAAACGGTTTCAGGCTAAAGGGGAAAATCACAGGAAATACATCATGAATGATATGCATGTGTTCCCATCAGACATTTCCAAAGAACATGGGGGTAGGTGTGTCCAGATCCTGGTATTGTAAGAGGAACTGTTTGGCTGACAGTGTGAGTCAGTGACTACCACTCATCACCTACACATCAAACCCAATTCCCATGCATGTCCAGCCCCATTGTCCTCCCAGGGACGCTCCCAGGGACTTGGTAAACAATCACACACAGACACAGGGGACGCAGCAGCACATTTGCACTGAGAAACTGATAGACACACAGCGCTGCAGACTGGAGCTTCCACACACACACACATTCTCAGCGCGCTCAGTACAATGGCTCTATTTTAAGTTTGTGAAGGAAGCCAAGTTGAATGAATCCTATCCTGAAGTCCGGTTCCCATGGACAGGTCTCACGTCCTCTCCCCTCTGCTGTCCACCCCTCAGGCCCCTCACCTTGTTCAGATAGCTGCCCCCTCTGTCACCCAAATCTGGTTCACCTTCCCACAGCCCACCCCTGTCTCCTTGTCTGACCTTGTGCTGTTGTACGATGGCTCAAAACAAAAGCAATGCCCCTTATTTGTCAGAATTATCTAGGACCACCATTTCCGAGTTACACAGAGCAGAAAGGGCCAAGTCCATATTGTTTTCTCATGCTCTCTTGATCGGCTCTTCCAATAAAAGTTAAGACTGCGTTGAAAGACTTCTAGGTTGTTGTTATTGGGTTCTAAGCTCAAATAGACATTTTGCAGATCGCCTACAATTCAGCGGACACTTCAATGGTACTTTGATCATCTCCTAATGGTAGAACGCGGTCCGGACCAGAGCACCATGATTGATTTCACTCACATTGTTATTAGATCTACAAAATGAGGATAAGGAAGTGGTTAGGATCTCGGCGTGATTACGCTTTTGCATACTTTGGATGACTTCCAGACACAAGGTGCACAAAAAGCGATTTGAGGGGATAGAAAGGAAGAGCTCAGGGGGGGTCGGAGGGACGTGCAGAGAATGCCAAATGTTGCAGCCAACTTCAGATGTTGTGATATAAAAAAGAAATATTGTAATGTTTAAGTTAATTGATAGAGGATGGATTTGTGGCCTGGATGTGCAGTTGACGTAATCTGGGAGGTTTGCAGAAAATTATTGTTCCAAAGAGCACTCAGTTGGATGTATAAACGATTTGTTCTGCTTCAATTTCTGGCATTTCAAAGGTGCATTTGGACAGATTGGATTGTCTGTTAATGTTACACGATTATTTTAAATACTGAACAATAAAAACAATAAATCTGAAGTTCATGAAAGTACTTTTCATCCACAACATAATCACAGTTTGGTTACATCACAAGTTTTCACATGCAAGTATTTTTGGCCTCTGTCACATCATTGGATCAGCTTTTTTGGACAGAAAATTGAAAAAGGAAGGACCATCCCCACTCAGTCAATGATCTCTCAGGATTACAAATAATAGCGTGTGTGCCAATAAGATGAAGTCAGCATGGTGCAGTCTGATTTACCTTTTGCAAGAGTTTGTGTTGGGACAAATATGGAAAAAAAATAGGTGCTGCTGCTGATAGTCCGGCCATGTTTAGCCACATCTATTCTCATCTCTCACACCCCTATTAGCCTGCATATTTCCTTCTGATTACACCAAATGGACCCTCGTTTTGAATGCGCACACCGGAGAGGCCATGTGGTTGCTATTTGCGAGGAATGGCACATCGCACAGTGTTACGGAGGGAATGGTTTTCTACATGTGCAAACGCTGCCAGCTTTCACTCAGGTTTGAGTTAGCGGAGGTCAGGCGGAGACCCAGGGTGCGAGAGCTCAAGGGTGGAGGTCATAATGCTTTAGGCGGAGAGGTGGCAGAGATGTCAGGGGTCGATGTGTGTGTTTGGGGCTTGGAGAAAAAGCAAAGAAAAAAAAAAAAAGGAAAATGCTAACAGTGGTGCAAAGTTTGACGGAAGCAGGTCAGGCGAGGTCAATCAAAAGGAAAAGGTTTGCTTATTCCGACTGGGAGGAATAACATGCTATAGCTGATAGAGCAGTGGGAGATGGCAGCTCTTCTAAAACAATTTTTAAAAATGGCAAAATATAATGTTGTTTTAGCTTGCATCAGTGTTTTTCCAATGTTGCTTTCCAGGAATTTCTTGTACATTGTTTCACAAATATCTCATCAAAGAAGTAGTGATCTTACAATGACATTGTTGTTTAGTGCCTTGTTAAATAAAATATTGTGTTGGTTACATTTTGAAAACAGTGGAACCAAGCAAAAGTGCCACCATATATTTACATTATCAGCCAGAATTGTGGTCATTAGTATGTACTGTATCACTCAGGTCTCCAACCTATAGCTCGGGAGCAGCCAGTAGCTCGCCACCCCCTTCCAAGTAGCTCCATAAAGGATTTAGAATTTTCAAACATGCTGGATATTTTTTGCGCAAAACCTCATAATAATCTTTATTTGGGCATCTGACAGTATCACAGGATTACATTGCTACAAGTAAAAAAAATAATCAAGCTAGAAATAGATTAAAATCAGAAAGATTCGTCTGATTCTATAACATTTTGACAAAAACGATTTGCCATAGTGCAAACTTCCAGTTCTATACCTCCCTGTGATGGTAGCTTAGGGAGTTACCGGCGTAAATTATTTTTTACCCTTCCTATTTGTTTCACCCCGTATTTTCAACTGAACATATTGTTTCACATTCTAAAACATTAAATTAAAAAGTAAACAGTCATTATATCAGTTTAAAAGCCACAAATAAGGCATAGTATTTCTTATGTTTTACAAAGTCTGATGACCCATAACTAAATCTAGTTAAAAATAAATACAAATGTAAATAAATGTGCACTTTATTGTCTTCATAGGGAAATTTGTCCTCTGCATTTGACCCATCCTGATGCCACTAAGGCTTACATCAGGAGCAGTGATTGCTGCAGTACGGCGCCCGGGTACCCATCTCCAGATGTTAATGCTCGGCTTGGGCAGGACTACCGGAGCTGGGAGATTTTACCTAGTGAGCATATTTTAAGTGGTAGGGGAAACCGGTGCACACGGAGGAAACCTACGCAACATGGGGAGAACATGCAAACTCCACTCAGAAAGGCCCTGTTCCGACCGGGATTCGAACCCAGGACCTTCTTGCTGAGAGGAGAGAGTGCTATCCACTCTTTCAAGAAACCTTCAATTCAAGCCCTTGGATACTTTTATCATATACTGGGTAATGCACCATTATGTCAGTGTTCCTTCTGCAACCTAAAGCAGTAGCTCACTGTTGTTTTTGTCCTGAAAAAGTAATTCTATGGGAGGAAAAGGTTGGAGACCCCTGGACTTGTATTATACTAATTTTTAAACCCATTCAAATATGATTACTGCAAATCAGAGACAAGACATCCCCCAATCCCTGCTAGCAGAATAAACAAGAGGCACTGGTCATCATATAGTAAAAATCACTAGCGTCTTTGTGGATTACCAACTGTATTAAACCATTCTGAACATTTCCTATAAAGCAACATGCACGACAAATTAGATGATTTGTTGTGGAATGGTTAAAAATGCATTTGGATCAAATAAACACAGTGAAAGAATTGTTATGATTTGAGGGCAGACTTACATAGGTAGGGTCTTAGTGACTTACACATGAAGGGCTTGACACTGCTGTGGATGTGCTTGTGCTGCTTGAGGCCTGACGAAGTGGCAAAAGTCTTGCCGCACTCGGAGCAAGCATGTGCCCGTGCGCCAACGTGCTGCGAGCGGATGTGCCTCTGGAGGTTACTGGGGTCTGTGAACACCTGCTGAGGACAGGAGCGCACACACAGGACCAAAGTTATTATCGGATTCCACTCGGGGAGTGGAAGTATCTATGTGAGGTGCTAAAGAGATGAGAGATTAGTCGATTTGGGTTTTCTGTGCCTCATGTAGAATTATTTTTCTGGTCAATGATCAATTTAAATGGCTGAATTTAAATGCCAGATAAACAGAGTTGATTGCCGGTGCTAATGCTAGTTAGTTGTTAGCTGCGAATTAGCTATTTTTTCAGGTTATGGGTAATGATGATTGATTCTAAAGAACAAATCTATCCTTTATCTTATTTTTAGATTTGACATTTTGCATCTGAGTTTTTTTTGTGGGCATTTACTTTTTAACATTATGAAGGTCCATACATCCATTTTCTTCCCCTTAATCCATTTCTGGGTCGGGGCGGTGGCAGTCAGAGCTGCACCCAGACATTATGAAGGTATTTTATAACAAATTATTGCTTTTATTTAATATAAGTTTGGATAGTCTGGGCAGATTTTTCTGAACTGTACTGTTTTGATTGGAATAAGACTGAACCCAAAGTAAACCAAATAAAATAACCAAATTTTGTGGACTAGTGTCTAGGGCAACAGTAGCTCAGTTGGTAGAGCATTGGCCTTTGGGCCTGAAGGTCGTGGGTTCAAGCCCACCATAAGACATACTTCACAACTCCCACTGATGACTGCTGCCGTTGTGTCCTTGGGCAAGACACTTAACCCCACTTTGCCTGAAGCTCCCACTGAAAGATCTCAGCTCCTGTGGACTCACCACCTGCAGGAGGATCAGTGAGGGGCTGGTGCTAAGTGGACTGGGTGCAGCTCTGACTGCCACCCCCCTGACCCAGAAATGGATTAAGGGGAAGAAAATGGATGGATGGATGGATGGATAGTGTCTGTTTATGTATTATTACTAATTTGGTACGCATAAATGATTTTGGGATAATTAGCTTTAAAATGAGGTATAACATGCCATAGTAGCATGTCGCCATGGGAAGAAGTTAAGGCTGATAGGCAATATTTCTCTTTAAACATCGGCCTGATGCAAAGGTTTTCAACTCCACATTCTAAATATCTTAGAAATACCTTTATGAATTATATTTTTTCATAGATAATTTGTATCACCTTGTGCCATGACTTTACCTTTGAGCAGTTTTCACATTCGTAGTGCTTGCCGCTGTCATGAGACATCTGATGGCGTATCAGGTTGGACTTCCAGTTGAAAGCCTTGGGACACTGGTCACACTTGTACTCCCTCTCCTCAGAGTGGGACAGGATGTGGGCTTCCAGACTGCAGCCAAAACAAACACGTTGTTCATTTGAGTCCATTCATACACACTCTATAATTCATTGGATTTACTAATGCCATTAAAAGGATTGTGGGATGTTGTGTGCACCTCTGGTTATCAGGGAAGGCCTGGTCACACTCTTTGCACTCGGGGAAGCCTTGGGACAAGTGAAGTGATCGGAGGTCTTCAGGCTCCTGGGCTTTCAGGTCATTGTCTCCACCTGTGTGAGAGAGTGAGAATGAGGTAATGGGCATATCGTGAAGTGGTAGTTCAATGGTGTTTGAAACAGACACAATTCTATACAGTACATTTTGGTTTTATTAAATCATCACAGATACTGGATGTTCTTCACAGACTTCAAACACTATTTAATTGTTGGAAATGGATATCGAACATTTAACACAAAATAAGACTCAGAGGGAGCACAGGGACTGGCTTCCTAATGAAGCCCAGAGTCAGGAGTGTCCAGAGTCTGCACAACAGTCTTCCTGAAAATGTGAGACAAGCTTCTATTCTGAAAAAGTTCAAATCCAGGATAAAAACCGTTTAGCTGAGCATCCAACTGAATGATCTTACAATGTATTATTTATATACTATATATTTATATTTGTCTGTGAACAACATAACAAGTAATGGGAGGCTTTGTACAACATCTGAATCCCCGTCTGGAGGGAAGATTTTTTTTTAAAGAAATGAAACTGTGACTCTAGTTTCACATGTTTTTACTTGTTTTCAGCTTGATACTGATGTTTAGGATTAGATAAAATAAGATGAGATAGCCTCAATCCGTTCCTCATTTGGGAAAGTTCAGTGTCCTATATTGTTTTGTAAACTTTTTAGAGCACAATTAATACTGGGCAATTTCCTTATCCCATTTCAAATAAATGCAGGAAGAATCAAGGTAGTTTTGTTTCTACTGTTGATTAATTGCTTTTCATTTACAAACCATACCTGGACTGAGGAAAGAGACCGGGGGCATCCCACACGGCTGCTTCTGGTGGTCCTGGAGCTGAGCGCGGGACTCAAAGTGCTGGTCGCAGTCCTCACAGCGGTACTGCCTCTCCTCTGCACACGGACGAGCGAGTGATTACGTAAACATTAGCCACGATAACATACACACTGAACCATCTCCGTGACATGTGTGTGTGTGTGCCAGAGCAACTCACCGTGGATATCTGGGGCCATACTGTCACATGAATACTCCTCAGCCTTCATGAAAAGTAGCAGCTCCTCGCCGGGGAAGATCTCGCGGGTGGCTTTGTAGAAGATCTGGAACACAAGAGAACAAGCCTGTGTAAGGCCTGACCGGTCCCGGAGTAATCTGTACATTCAAAAGCGAATCATCTGGACCATATTTTGACATTGAATTGTTGAAAACTCCCGATCCAGATCTTATTCTCAAGTCTCAGGGCCGCACACTAATCTAGCCGCAAGCATTATTATTCTATCTTCCCTCAGATTTGACTTGGGAGTTGTCGAATATCCATGTCAAAACGTCTGTACCTAGGACTTTTTCTACCAACACAAGGAAAGTTGATATTGTCTATGTGGTGTCATTTTTTAGCTTTGAAATGGGGCTTATCCAAATATGCAAATTTGGTGTAACTTAAATCTTCACATGTCAGCACTGCATATGAACACCGTAGACATATTTGAGAGGTGAGAGAAAACAAGCTCTAAGGTTGAATAGGATACATATTTTTTTCAGTGATTTGCGGACCGACCGATTACATGGCATTAACACTATATTGCAAGTAAATAACTGTGGACTCTGAATAATTGTATATATATTTACAAATATTCATATGGGGCTTTCCATGCAGTATATATATTTTATGTTTATGATCTCAATGGCTGCCATGCAATTTGTGCTGACGTCACCCTTGCGTTTGCCGAATGCAGAAGAAGCTGATTTGAACTACGCTATCTGGAGACCATCCATCCATCCATTTTCTCAATTTCTGGGTCGGGGGGGGGTGACAATCAGTGATGCCACCCAAGATAGCTGAAGCCAATTTCCTTAAACTATGGACATTCATTCCAAGGCGTTGCGTCACACCATAATAGAGACAGGCGTGTTGCTAAGACAGTTGCTAAGGTAAACCGGAGTTTTCCCCCCCGAATTAAGGAATCTCATTGGCCAATCCTTATATGGCTCTTGGATGTAGAAAGACAGTATGCAAAAATATAGACACAAGGATCATAGAAAGTGCTAAACCTCGGAGCAAAGTGGTCACTCAAACGGTTATTGAGCTAGAGGAGATTACTTTTCAACGTAAGTCAATTGGAGCCAGAGCGCTAACTCGTTCTTAGCTTCATGGAGCTAGCAGGTTAGCATTGTCCATCTATATACAGTCATCTACTGTATATCCATGGTGCTGCTACTCCTGGTATGAATGACAACTTTCTACAATTCTGCGTAGCCACTCAACATATGCACGCTCTCACACTATAAGTCCCACGTATTTTGCAAGTGCGGTCGTGTTGATGGATCAGCTGACAGAGCAGGGCATTGTGGGCTTTCCCCTGCTCACAATGGCCTTTCTCTGTGAAACAATCATGTTCAGAGTTATTTCTGTCCAGCGCACAGAACTCCGATACAGCGCCTTCCTCCTCTGTGTGGACGTGATAGCAAATGCAAGGAATTTATTAGAAATGCAAAACGGAAGTCTTCTGGGAAAGGCGCAGATCGCAAAGTATTCATTGACAGAATTCCTTGGTCCGTATTCTCAGGAGCCTATCTGAATCTGGCTGAAGGAATGTGGTGTACTCAGCTGACAGCTCTATTATTTTAGCGCCGGTAACATTGTTCTGCAACTTGACAAATCATTAGGATCTAAATTTGTCTGATGAAAGGTACGCCGAGTTCTGCAGCGCTGTTTGAAATTAGTTATTTATAGTCAGTTGCTCAGGAGCTCTATTAGGATACAATGACATCACTCGTGCCACAAGGGGTCAGTGACGGGGTCTTGTTAAAATGTTAAATTAATATCATAAATTCATGTACTGCCACGGTGTCTATGAGCAACATACTTTTTCAGTGGAAATGTATGGGTGGGGGAGTCGCAGCCGGGATTTTTTTAAATATTCTAAATCTTTTATGAGGTTGTTTAAACTGAAAGGTACTGTGTTTTTATAATTACAAGAGTTTTTTTTTTATGTCTATTAAAGGCAAGATCAGTAACTTTTCAAATTGTGAAAAAGAAGAGAAGGTTTTTGAATGCAAGCACCCATTAGACCCGCCTCCACAGCTTCCTGATTGGAGGAAATAAATTGACACCTCTCTATTGGTCTAACTTCAGCAAACCTTACCAGTGATGCTTATGCCAAGCGGAGGGACTGCTTTAAATATATTATTAATGAAAAATAAATCACTTAGATTGTGCTACAGGGTCATATCGTCAAAATATGTATAATTTTAAGACACACATTTTTGTTGTTGTTGTTGTTCTTTTTGTTAATAATAAAACTTTGCAACTTAGAACAAGTTGCATACTGTTTTTTTATTTCAACAGAACATAGGAAAAAAGTTGATTGATTCTTGCAAGACCCAACAAAGATAAAAAAAAGTGCATGGATTATTATAGAATAGAGTAAACCAGGTCTTGAACAAAGATTTGCCAAAAACAAGTTTAATATGTTTCAAACTAGTAGAATAGAATTACACTAATTTCACATCATGCAGCGTTTATTTTTTAAGTTGTAAGCTCATTCTGGTCAAAACGGTTTCTTCTTTTATCATAAAGAGATAAATACTACTTTCTTCAAACCCTTTATTCCGCCCTTTTCCCATTTTTTTTGCAGTGAATGTATTGTGTCCAGAAGCCATCCCCTCTGTAATATCATGATTAAGAGACAATGCATGTTTCCATAACCGATCTGCTCTCCTGGGGTGATATGGGCCAGTTCAGGAAGTTTATGAAATAGTTATCACATGCAAAAAGACAAAACGTCACTCCACTACGAACTTGCCTCATACGCTGGGAGCCAAAAAAGCATTTAAGATTAATAACATTTCAGTAGCATGCAATTCATTCTAGCCTATGTTTTGGAAAATCTTGCCCTCTCTGCTAATTCCATGTAATAGCGTAATCGTGGAATGTCTTTATTGCACTGCTGGCCGTATAAAGCTGCAGTTCTGTGGTGAGGCCGCGGCACACGAGCGAGCCATGGAGAAAATGAAGGGGATTTCCAACCAGATCCCCTAGGACTGGAAATAAACATAAACATAACACAAACAAGCAGGCTGCAACTTCACTTTTTTTCGCCCAAGAGCTATCTTTGATTGCTGCATGTGTCACCCACCCACACACACATATACACACGTACACATATACACTTGCACACACACACACAAGTACACATGCGCCGGCCAAAACAGTGGCTTAAGTATAAGTCTTTGGAGATAGCAGGCTGACCCGAATCATTACAAGGTCAGCTTTTATTGCACTTAGAAAAACTGTTGGAAGGACCTTGGTCTAATCTCGGAGTGAAGATATGTCTGGTTTACACAAGGCAAATCCAGTGCAAAAACTAATCTCAAGCTAAAGGAGCAAAGTGTGTGATTAGTTAAAGCTGCAATGTGTAACTATGTACTCTTTTTTGCTCAAAATGTCCACATGAAACCTGCATTTTATTTGACGTGGGTGCAAAATAAAAAAGTGGGCTTGCCTTTCCGCAGAACTGACATGCATGCAATTTTACCACATAGGGATGGGTCTAATAGACACAAATAGCACCTTACGCCCAAGGCCAAAAAGTGAAACTGAAAATATTTTTTTCTTTTTTCTTTTTTTTAATAATTATTTGTGAGTTTGGGTCATCTTTACTTTTCATGGTGACTTTTGACAAAGTTAAAAGTTCAACCATGTCTTTCACAGCATGTTTCTACTCTTCCAGCAGAGGGCACAGTAACTTGCCCTAGACGCTTGCGGTCCAGCCTGATAGAATGGACGAGTTGTAAGTATTGCTAATGATGAAACTGAATCTTGTGAATGATCTACTCTTTCACAACTTTTCCACTGATAAAGCTGGGCCACTTGAGGACCCCTAAACCTATATAAAAAAAATGAAATAAATTGTAATTTCAATGCATTGAGTTCAAATAATTAACTAACTTACCCATGATTATTCTGCCTAGAGCCTTACTTAAAGCTGTAGGCCTCAATATGTGTTTTTTGTCGCATGAGAAATAGTCTTGTAAAAGTTAAAAATTCTAAACATTTTTGATCTTATGCATACTTGTAGGAAAGAGCTGATTGGCTGAATGAGTGTGGTCCTCTCTTTTTCACTTTTCTCTCACAGATGCCAAAAATACATGCACATGAAAACTATAGGCATAGAATCCAAAAATAGTTACGTTCCCCAGCTTTAAATGTAGATAAATACAACACATAATAGATGTTGCTAAGTAAAAAAAAAAAAAAAAAAAAAAAAAATGTATTTTGGTGTCCTTTGGTTTCTGTTCCATTATTGTTATGTAGACCCAACATGGCGGATATGAGCTCGCTGGTGTTGACAAAGGGCAAGTGGACACGTGGAAGTCTTTGATTGTACCTGCGCTGGACGAGGAGAGCGAAAGGTCAGAGCACCAGCCGGAGCCTCACCTTGACACCATGAGTTATTAGCCATGCAAACAGGTCACACCCGCCCCGGCCAAGCCCTGCTCGCACACAGCTCATTCCACAGCCATGACACGGACTGACATCAAATAGACTCTGGGTCACTGAGCAGGACAAGTTATAAAGTTATCTTCTGTGTAACTTAAAGCTCGGGTACCTATATTTGTTTTTTCATATATGTAATACGTTGTTTGTTCCAGCAGAGAGAGTCTTTTGCAAAAGTAACATGTTGTGAACAAATCATTTTAATATTATAACACAATATCTTTTGTAAACTTGTAAAGAGGAGCCCTGTGAGTCACTCTTTATCGCTTTGGGCTAAGAGATGATTTGAACTGATTGAACTTTTTTATATTTTTTATGTGTTGTTGCTTGTCAATGCAGGAGGGTCTAAGGACGGTGATGATCCAGAACTACAAGGGACATTTATTAACATTTATGGACACTGGTCATCCCGCTCCCTATGGACCAATGACTCCTATGTGTTTGTTAATATTTCATTTCCTTTGTTTGATTCTCTGGTTTGTTATTGAGGAATTGACAACTTTGTAAAGTCCTCAAAGACACTCGCTGTTGTGATTTAGTGCAGCACAAATAGATAAAATGAATTGAATCAAACTAATTACTAAATCAGTTGAATTCAATAAA